TAAATAGCCTGGGATCACTGGATACTCTAATATTGTTCAGGCTAAGCCCCTGGGGCTGTACCGTGTCAGTGTGGGAGACCAAGTGGAGCCCCTCTAAGCTTGTTCAGTTCTTTCTAAATGGCAGAGCTAGAATAAAATCGGCACTGTGGAACACATTGTCCCTGTATTTTGAGCGGAAAGATTCTGTGCCCTCTCTTTGATTTCTTGGTGGCCTTTGTATTATTGAGTTTGATCCCTGTTGGAAAAGAAAACATGCCTTTCTCTTTGCTTTTTCTAATAATCCGTATAGCACCCTAGCTGGACCAAGCATGCTTTTGGCCTGGATTTTCACTCAAAACCCAGTCGCTCAACCAAATTATCCCCCTCCAGACCTCTTTTGCTCACATCCTAGAGTTGACTCATTTCCAAAGGAAAATAATGAAGAATCCATTAAGGACCCCTACCTGTGCTGGAACGTGCTTTGGGCCTGGATTTGCACCCGAAGCCAGTCGGAGATCCCCCTAGGAGGCTGCTAGGAGGGAAAAGTCCAGAGCCATATTCAGGAACGTAGGATGGGTAGGTGGTGATGGGGTGATGAGCTGAGGAAGAGGCGGCTCCTAGCGAAGCCATGCTGCTCCGGGAATGAGAAGACTCCAGCTTCATGGTGTCGGCCAAAGACACCTGGTACTTTATGCACTCCTTCTCCTCTTGCCGACTGGATCCCGTGGAACCCGGAGTGGAGATGGAGGGATCCGGGGAGACATCTTTGGGAGGGGTCGGCGGGAAGGTGAAGAGGTGTGGGCTGGAGTGGCCTGCCGACAAAGAGGAGGAGGAAGCCGGAGGGTAGACGGAGAGGGGTCCAGGCGAGCCGTGGTGGATGGGGGTCTTGGAGAAGGGGCTCAGGTTCCATGGGGAGGTGCCGTGGTGGTGGCTTCCCAGGGCTTTGCTCCCATCCAGCCAAGGGAGGGAACTGTGCAGCAAGGGCGGGCGGCACACCTGGCCACCTGCTAGGACAGAAGGTGAAGAAGGTCCACATTAGTTGTCTCCTCTCTTCCCAATGAGAAGATCAAGAGATTAACAGAATTCAGGTGGGGATCTAAGGGACAACCCCATCCTTCCATCCTTTGGAAGACTCAAGTTCAGGGGCTACCCCACAGGGGATTTCATTTGACAGAGGGCTTCTCCTTCTCAAGTGGGAAGATCAAGAGATGAACTGTCCTCAGGCAGGGATCTAAGGGACAACCCCATTCTCTCATCCTTTGGAAGTTTGGTCCAGATCCATCATTGTTTGTGTCCAAAGTGCTCTTTGGATGTAGGTGAACTACAACTCCAAAACTCAAGGTCAGTCAGGGGCTACCCAAAGGGGATTTCATTTGCCAGCTGTCTTCTCCTTCTCCAATGGGAAGATCAAGAGAGGAACAGTCTTCAGGCAGGGATCTAATGGACAACCTCAGCAACTGAGGGGGAAAAGGAAAGGGCCTGAGACTGTTAAGAGTTGTGGGAGTTGAAGTCCAAGTTTGCCCATGCCTATTTTGGAGCATCCAAATGCTGGGTTCCTTGCCTCCATGAGCCACTGCCGCCATTGATATTATTAATATTGCTAATATTATTATTGCAACTACTATACTTGGGGCAGACATGTATCAGTAGTAAATATGCTACATTTTGTTTTGTTTTGCTTTGAAGGTTTTTTTGGATTTCAGTTTGAAGGTTATCTACTCCCCTGTTTGTTTTTAATATACTGACTAGGTTAAAGTCGCCCACAGAAAAATGATTTGCTTTTTTGATAAATATGCTTAGATCAGCGAGATATTCAAAAATGAAACTGACTTTTTTTCAAACTATCATGCAGAAGACAGATTGATCATCGGTTGCTGATTTGAGGATGGGGCACAAATTAAATTCAGATAAACAGGATGGAGATTATTGTAAAGCAGTGTTTCTCAACCCAGGGGTCAGGACCCCTGTGGGGATCTTGGGGGGGG